TCCTATGTTGGAAAAACGACTAGGGAGTGGAGACCCTATGTCTAAAATAAATTCAACTAAGAAGTGGAGACCCTATGTCTAAAATAAATTCAACTAAGAAGTGGAGACCCTATGTTGGAAAAACGTAACTAGAGATTGGGGACCCTAGGCTACTATTTTGTTTTTGAATTTTTCTTCTTATCTCTTTTTCTTCATTTTGTTTCTTTTTTTTTCTTTTTTCTTTTATTTCATAGAATGAGTGAATGTGGGAAAGAATTTTGGAGGGGACTTTCCTTTATGGATTGTTGCTGCAAAGTTGTTTCTAGCCCTTGCACAATTTCTTTTTGGTTGCACCTGCTTCTTACAAAGTTGCTTTGGATTGCACCTGTTTCATGTTTTCAAACAAAGAACAATTGTTAGTTTGAAACGATGGTTGGTTTTGTGGCCTTGATTGGTTTGATCACTTGATATAAGCCCAACTCCTTCGATGAACATCTCTGTTGCTTGTTGACTTTCTGGAGATCAATCTCCCTTTTAAAACCCAGGGACCTTGACCTTCCAAAATTTCACATGATGGTTCAACCGTGCGGGGCTTTGGCCTTTTCATCTTATTTCGCCTTTTTGGGCATTTGACTTTGGATTTCTTTCTTTTTCCATAATTTTGACTTTGAAGCATCGGCCATCATGGCCAGTCGAGATCGACTTGATGCACCTACTGAGGCTGGGTGCTTTTTCCTTGAACTCAGATTTTGTTAGCAGAACCCTGTAAACCAATCTTGCCATCTTTTCTTTATATTAGTTTCGGAGAAGAATTAAACAGAAAGGGATTCAAAGAAAAATAAACAAAGGATAGGAAATGAATTTAAAGAGAAGTTTCCCTTTCGGGGGAGGAGAGAAGGACTTATCTGGAGTGCATGTAGACTTCAATAGACATGACATGCTTCTTGGACTGGATACCTAATCTGCGCAGCCATGTGACAACCTGGCCAGTCATCTTAAGAATTAACACCCCGATCCCCTATTAACTACTTTCCCCAAGTTTATTTATGCTATTTGGATTTGCCGGGATATTCGGTTTTGAGTTTCGGAGAGTTTTGGGACACTTAGTCCCTAAATGGGAGCTTAAGTGTTGGAAAGTTGACCGTAGTCGGAATAGTGTGAAGACGGCCTCAGAATGGAAATTTGATAGTTCCGTTAGCTCCGTTGGGTGATTCCGGGCTTAGGGGCTTGTTCGGATTGTGTTTTAGAGGTCCGTAGCTAATTTAGGCTTGAATTGCCGAAAGGTCGAATTTTGAAGTTTTTGGTTCGATAGTGAGATTTTGATATGATGATCGGAATGGAATTCCGGAAGTTGAAGTAGCTCCGTAGTGTTGAATGTGACGTGTGTGCAAAATTTCAGGTCATTCGGACGAGGTTTGATAGACTTTTTGATCGAAAGCGTATTTTTAGAGATTTTGGAATTCTTAGGCTTGAATCCGATGAAAAATAGGTGTTTGATGTTGTTTTAAGCATTCCGAAGGTTGGAACAAGTTTGAATGATGTTTTAGGATTGGTTGGCATGTTTGGTTGAGGTCTCGGATGCCTCGGGATGAATTCAGATGGTTGACAGAAGGATTTTTGGAGTTGGAAGTTTGTAGCATCAGCTGGTCTTCTGTCATAACCGCACCTGCGGTTTGGGTCCCGTAGGTGCGGAGCCATAGAAGCGGCGTAGCAAGCGCAGATGCGAATTTGGGGAGGATCAGCAGGTTCCGCAGATGTGGGTAATTCACCGCAGAAACGGTACCGCACCTGCGGAAGGGTAACTACAGATGCGAAAATTGGCCTTTAAGTGAAAGTCGCAGATGCGACGAAATCCTCGCAGAAGCGGGACCGCCGCAAATGCGGAAATCGCTGGGCAGAACATATAAATTCTTGCCTTTGCGAAATTTAGCCATTTTTCATCTTTTTCAAAATGGGAAGAAGCTTGGGGAACACGTTTCAAGAGGGATTTTCAGAGGAGTTCATTGGGGTAAGGTCTTTGGTCCCTAAACTCGTTATTGGAATGATTTTTATCAATTTAATCATGAAAAATTAAGGAAAATCAGTGGTAATTGGGGGGTTAGGCTTGTCTAATTGGAGACCTTTGAGTGATGATTTGAGGGACAAATTGAGTTCCGATTTTGGTACTTTTGATATGACTGAACTCGTGAGAGTGCGAGGGTTCTGGAAATATAAATTTTACTTGATTCTGAGATGTGGGCCCGAGGGGCATTTTGGTCATTTTGCCTAATTTCGCGTATTAGCTTAGAATTTCATTGTAGAATCAGTTACTTGAAGTGTTATTTAAATTACAAAATTTAATTGAATAGATTTGGGCCATTTGGAGTAGAGTACTCGTGGCAAGAACATGGTCTCAAGTTGATTTATGAGCTGGTTCGAGGTAAGTGGCTTGTCTAACCTTGTGTGGGGGATCTTCCCCTTATGATTGGTATATTTGGTAATTGAAATGCGTTGTACGTGAGGTGACGAGTGTGTACTTGTGCTAATTATTGGGAAACCAATTTGCTTTAAGTAATATCAGTATGTTTCCTTTCCTGTTTCTATTACTTGCATTATTAAGCTTGTTGTTAGCTTAGGAAAGCATGTCTAAGTGACTTAATTGCTTTATCTGCTCAACCTTCCTTACCTGAATTCTGTGCAGCATGTTAGGCTAGAATCACTTATTGCCTTAATATGAAATTTTGCCACTTCTGTATACTTTCCTGTTGTTGCTGTCTGTTTATTTTGGGACTACGAATGTGGGATTTCGGTAGACACCCTGCACAGTTATATGGAACTATGGAAATGCACCGGGTAGATTTCCCCAATACTGGGTATTTACATTTGGGACTACGGAACGAGATTCCGGTAGATCCCCGCGCACTATGAGTTGGACTATGGGACGGGATCCCGGGAGACCTATTGAATATATACATATGGGACTATAGGAGGGTATCCTGGGAGATTTTCGATTGTTATTATTGGTGCTGAGCTGTATTTCTTTTCCGTGTTTACCTTGCTTCTGTATAGTTGTTGTTGTCCTATACATCTTGTGTTATTTTACTGCTGTACTTATTTATACTGTTCTGTTCTATACTGTTGACCTTATTATTTTATTTTACCTTAGTAGGGCCCTAACCTTCCTCGTCACTACCCAACCGTGGTTAGGCTTGGCACTTACTGAGTACCGATGTGGTGCACTCATGCCCTTTCTATGCATGTTTTTCATGTGCAGATCCAGGTACCGCTACTCAAGCCTACCATCCTTGAGGGAGGCGACTGCTCTAGAGACTTCGAGGTATATCTTCCGCGTCCGCAGACCGAGGAGTCCCTTTCTATCCTAGCTATTAAACATTGCCCTTCTGTATTTTCTTTCTTGTTAGATATTCTGGAGTTAGACTGTTAGATATTCCAAAGGCTTGTGTTTCCGTGAGTTCCAGGTTTTGGGATAGTATACTTGGTTTTGAGAATGTTGTGTTGTATATGCCTAGCGACATTATAACCATTGTTTTCATTCAGTTATTTTGGTTTTTGATTATTTCTTCCGCAAGTTCTGTTTATGTTCCGCATTTGTTAGGCTTACCTAGTCGTAGAGACTAGGTGTCGTCACGATAGTTCACGGAGGGCGAACTGGGGTTGGTAATGTTTGGGTAGCGAGAATGAAAGCCTTCGTCATCCCAACCGAATAATATTAGTACTATATGAAAGATCCAACATAGTGCCTTTTGACTGCATTTTCATTGACAATTATTTCAGGGACATTTCCTTTGATGTGTCCCAAGTGCAACACACTCTTTTGGCAGTACTCTTGTTGCAATGTATGGACTTTTGCAATCCGGGAACCAATTTTTCTTCAGTTGTTACAACTCTTTGTTTTATTTCCTTAAGCTTTATCTTCATTGCGATCTAATCCTTGATTCATTCTTTCGAGGTCTGACAGCTTTCAGGATCTGGGCATGAAGTCCTCAAGCATGTCATGTTATTGAAATCTGCATTTAACGGAATTAAAAGAGAATAAGAAAAATGACAAGATTAAGAAAAGAGACATTCCTGGACAATGAAATATTAATTTCATTTGATTTTTTTATTTTTGAATTTTTTTCCCAGCTTTTTTATGAAGATAGAAGGGTTTACATCGGAAAGTAAGACATTAAAGTAAAATATTTGGATCACACCCTGAGATAATCCGGATGCAGAAAGGATAGCAGGACTGGCTCGTAAGACTCCTGTCTGATGGGGAACTTTCATGCTTGGCGACCATTTTTTGGCTTTTCTTCTGTCTCAGCAATGGCCTTCAGTGCCGGATCAAATTCCTCATCTTCCGAAATCATTCCGACTATTGGCCCGATGTTGTGGGCAGGCAATAGATCGTTCATCATATCAAGAGCTTTTTCGTCTTGAAAAACAATTCTTTTAGCTTCAATCAAATCTTCAACTGTCTTTTTGAGGGTCTAACAGTCCTTTGTACTGTGTCCCACTGCTCCAGAGTGGTATTCACATCTAGCATCAGCTCCGTGCGAGGGGGAATCGGGTTCGGCCGGTTCGGGGCCACTGACTACAATAGATCTAGCCTAATTAGCTTTTGGAACAAGCTTGAATACGATTCACCAATAGGGGTGAACTGATTCTTTTTGAAAGGCTCTATTAGGTGAGGGTTGTACTGGGGAACATCTGGTTGGGGATTATATGAAGCTTGGTAAAAATGGGCATTTATGGGAGGTGAAGCTCGTTTTTGTGTATGATGTTGTGGCCGCGTGTAAGGTTGCGCGTTCATCACCACATAAGAAGGTGGTGCCGCGACATAAGCAGCATCTTGAAGAGGATAATAATGTTGAGGGACCTCGGGAAGTATATATGATCGGTTGGATGACCTGCGGGTCCCCCTCGATCTCGGGAGCGATGTCCATATTTTCTTCTCCCCCGAGAGATCATATTGCGAAGGTTGAGTGAAAGAGTACGGGGTTACATATGTTATTTCTTGTTGAAGTTGTGGACCCTGAAAGATGAACATTGGAGGCGGTGCCCTTGAAGCCGATGCTTGGGGGCGAACCACAGAAGGCATGCAAGGATCATTGAACGGCATTGGAGGGTGCCCCGCATGGGATGAGCGCGTTGGGCACAGAGGCGTTTGTAACCTCACTTGATGTGGGGATTAAATCAGGGAACCCAGGGATTGCACTTGGCGGTTCCTTACCATTAGACCAGGGGTCCCACATTTCCAATATGCGGCGACGCAACATCTTATTCTCTTTAGTAGCTGCTGATTCTAGCTGCAGAATAGCCGATGCCGGGCTATCCTCAGGACCGATGATTGGTAGATTGCTTGCGTAGGTCATCTGTGCCTTTGGATCTTGTGAAGGAGGGGAGGCTAGACTACCAACAAAACCAACCACCAAAACCTGGCTAGTTTGCACACCCAACAACCTTGTTAGTTTTGAAATATTTAACATATAAGAAATTGCACATTGGGATAGAATGCACCTAAACAGTTAAACGCTTCTACCATATGTTTGAACGGTTGCATATTTCATCCCGGCCTTAACTAACCCTTTCAGTATGTACCCCTTTTCTTTTATTTTTTCCTATCTTAATCACTCTTGATTTTTCATCTCATTTTTGCCGCTCTTTTATTTTTGTCTTTTTTTGTTTTTGTTTTTGTTTTTGTCATTCTTTTATTTTTGTCGATCTCTTTTTCACTCAATTTTTTTTCAGTTCATTTTATCACTCAACTAATGTTATGGCTATGATCGTTTCCGATGTGGATTGCCTATGTATCATGACGCCGCATGAATCAGATCTTGCATAGTTTGGGATGTTTGTTTACTTTTATAAAACTAAAACCATGAAAGCTTTAATCAAAAGTAAAACATATTTAATTTTTTGATTTTTTTTCTTTTGGAATTCTCTAAAAAAATGCTTTAAAAGAAGAAAGGGAATTATTTTTAATCAAAAGCTTTATTTTTTATTTTGATTTTGATTATTTTTTAAAGAAAGACTTCTAAAAATTCCTTGTCTTTTGATTTGAACTTTGGGAATTTCAAAAGTAAAAAGAATATATTTTTGTTTGAATTTTCATTTGGTTAATATTTTTCTAAGGAAGAAAGAAAATATTTTTGGGTTTTGGATGTTGCCTCTTAATTTTCGAAAGACGGACTTTTTTAAATGTTTTGAATTTCTGAGTTTTTTATTTATTTACAAAAGTACTTTTAAAGAAAAGCAAAAATATTTTTGGACTTCAATTTTTTTTTAAATTTTTTTTTGTCTTTTTTGGTGACCTTTATGAAAGAAATACTTTTAAAGAAGGAAAAGAACATTTCCCTTTTTTTGGATTCTTTTTTTTTTGGTTTTTAATTTTTGGAAAAATACTTCAAAATAAAGGAAACCCGTATTTCGGATTTTTATTCTTTTTGATTTTGATTTTGATTTCTTTTACCAAATGAAAGACTCTAGAAAGAAGGAAACTACTTTTTTTTTCGAGTTTAAAAACTTCTTTTTTTTTTTTTGAATTTTCTAAGGAAAGATTTCTAAAGAAGGAACTAAAGGAAAATATTTTTGAATTTTTGAAAATTGGGGTCGGAACCAATGAGGTTTGCCTACGTATCTCACATCCGGTGAGAATCAGACCAGCGTAGTTCGGTCAATTTTGACAGAACAAGGAAACGTGACACTTGAATATTTTGGGTTCATTTTGAAATGACTTTTTTTCAGGGGGTGGGTCGGGTAGCAGGGGAGGTAGAGGGGGCAAGGGAGCCTATAGGTTGAGAATCGGGTCATGGAACATAGGTTCACTAACGAGTAAATCCATAGAGTTGGCGAAAATCCTGCAGAAGAGGAAGATTAATATAGCGTGTGTCCAGGAGACTAGGTGGGTCAGATCGAGGGCAAAAAACGTGGATGGGTATAAGTTGTGGTACTCTGGTGTCCTGAATGGTAAGAATGGAGAGGGTATCCTGGTAGATAGCCATCTTAGAGAGTCAGTGGTAGAGGTCAGGCGAGTGAATGATAGACTAATGACTATTAAGTTGGTGGTGGGTGAGGGCATTGTAAATGTCGTTAGCGCGTACGCACCACAAGCAGGCTTGGATGAGGATATTAAAAGGCACTTTTGGGAGGGGTTGGATGAGATTGTTCGTAGTATACCGCCTTCTGAGAGGTTATTCATAGGAGGAGATTTCAATGGTCATATTGGGTTATCTGCAGGCGGGTACACTGAGGTGCATGGCGGATTTGGTTTCGGAGAGCGGAACGGAGGGGGCATTATGCTGTTGGACTTTTCCAAGGCTTCGATCTAGTCATTGCAAACTCGAGTTTTACGAAGCGGGATGAACATTTGGTTACTTACCAAAGTTCGGTGGCGAAGACTCAGATTGACTATCTCCTCCTCAGGAGATGCGATAGAAGGTTGTGTGAGGACTGAAAGGTTATCCCAGGTGAGACCCTCTCAACGCAGCATAGGCTTTTGGTGATGGACATTTGTATTAGGATAAGGAGGAACAAGAGGTCAGTACAAGGATGCCCCAGGATTAGGTGGGGCGCCTTAACTAAGGATAAAGCTGAAGAGTTGGAAGGAAGGTTATCGGCAATGGGAGCTTGGAGAAGTAGTGGGGACGCAAACACAATGTGGTCGGCAATGGCGGACTGTATAAGAAAGGCGGCGAGAGAGGTGTTAGGGATATCTACGGGCCACAATGGTGTCCACAAAGGAGATTGGTGGTGGAATGCAGTTGTCCAAGGTAAAGTGGAAGCAAAGAAGGCGGCTTACCTNATTGGGGAGAGGTGATCAGACAGGACATGGCGCGACTTAGGATTACTGAGGACATGACCCTTGATAGGGAATTATGGAGGTCGAGCATTAAGGTTGTAGGTTAGGGGAGAGTGTGAATATTTCTACAGCACAATAGAGTGAGACTATCCAGTTAGGAGTTAGACTAGGAATGTCATTGGTCGTCTATTGATGCAGGGCTTTACCTTCTAGTTGTACTATACCATCCATCTATTTCGTATTTCGTATTTCGTATTTCGTATTATGTATTTCATATCTCTTATATATTGTTGTTATTTTTATTATGCATTTTTTGGTACTAATATATCATCTCCTATTTCTTTTTTGAGCCGAGGGTCTCCTGGAAATAGCCCTACCTTTCGGGGTAGGGGTAAGGTCTGCGTATATATTACCCTCCCCAGACCCCACGTGTGGGATTATACTGGGTTGTTGTTGTTGTTGTTGTTGTTGTTGTTTGAAATGACTTTTTTAAATTTTGTTTTCCAAAATTCCGGCAGAGTTTCAGAATTTTCTAAATACCTACCTCTCACTTTTTTTTTGATTTTTTTCCTTTATTCTAGAAGCTGGTCAACATGCAAGCCAAAACAAATAGATGCGCAAGTAGCACGTAAATTGCATCAGGATGGTCTTTTTTTTTAAATTTGGGTACACCTGTCCTAGACGGACCCAACCCCTATGTTGAGTTCCCAAAGTCAAATGCACGTGATGCAAACAAGCGTTCCTACTAGGGATCCAGCATGAGGCTATGTTATTCTAGGTTTAGAACCTGGGCTTATTGTTCTAGACCTGGCTTATCCGAGTGGACAGCTCGAGCTGGGGGGGAGGGGGACAGCGTACCAGGAATACAAAAGCTTCACCAACTTTGCAACTTGTCCGAACCTCGTTCTAAAATTGGGATATGACTCTAACAGAAAAGAAGTCACACGAAGTGCACCCTTTCTAGATGATTTAGAAGATTCACGGAGAAGAAGGGTTTTGTAACAGTTTATATACAATCCAAAAAATATCAAAACTGTAAAAGGCGACATTTAGCACATTAGGCCCAAACATATAAAAATTAGATAATAAATAAAGCCAAGTATAATAGTTATTCTAAGCTCGAATTCTTGAACCCTGAACTAGAGATTCTGGGTTCAGTCCTCAGCAGAGTCGCCAGAGCTGTCACACCTCCTTTTTACACCCGAGAGGGTATATGAGAGTTTTTCCAATTAATGTGACATAAATCAAAATGGGATTATTTAATTTATCAGAGTCGCCACTTGGAATAGTTTATTTGGTGTTCCAAGTCACCGGTTTATTTTAAAATCCCAAATCGAGGAAATTTTATTTTTTAAAGTCCGCGAACTAGAAATTCTATATAAGGAATTCTGTTAACCCGGAAAAATGTGTTAGGTATTCCCGGGTTCCGTGGTTCTAGCACGGTCGCTTAAAATGTTAATATTGGCCTATTATCTGATTAATTATGCATTTTAAACCTATGCGCATTTTTACGACTTTTTAACCGCTTTTACTATTTTTTAGGAAAATTCAATGTTATTTAAAACACATCTTAAACCACGCTACATGAAATACACCCACGGTTCGCGACACATTTTATTTAACATTGTTGGAAATTGAAGTCGGGTCACATAAAACGTACACACAGATTTTAGCAATCACAACTATGTCACGGGAGTCGTACCCGTAGCCATGATAATTTAATGTAGCGCGCCTAAAGCAACTACGAAGATTCATTTTAGTATCTAAGTTACAATATTTGTGAGGGCCATGGATGATCTAATTTATGGATGGGACACCTCAACCCTTTTTCTTTTTAAAGGAAATGTATTTAACTATAGCAACTACAAGTGTTAGCTCTTAATCTAATTTATGAGGGCCATGAATTATGGATTCATTTGTGGATCATGTGATAGAATTGATCAGTAAAATTATTTACATGGTTGATTTTACTACTAGCATGCTTATAACTTACTAATATTTGTTAATTTGATTTGGTATGCAAGTAGATACACCAGATTATGATTTGTTAGGGAAATGGGTTCGAGAAAGATTTTGTCCCATATACTTTCAAAACCAAGCAAATAAAATTAAGGTAAAATCTGATATTAGTCTTGTGCCAGTAACCGAAATGACCCAACTTCAAATTAAACCAACTACACACTTCCATTTTACAAGACTATACACGTTGACTCACTCATCGAACAACGAACAAACCTTCCTGAATTCTAAACCGCATTAAATTACAATGAAACCTTGTCCAACTAATTTAATTAACAGATAATAGAAAATACACAAATGGAATCTAAAGCATAACTACTACCATTAAATTGCAGTTGTAAGATAGTAAAGGAAAACTAAAAATCAGTAAGTAAAACCAAAGAAAACAGAGCAAACCAAACAAATCTGCAAAATTATCGAAGAGCACAATATTAACTACTCGAGCAAGAATGAACTAATAGAAGAAAAAGGAGCTTTATTGATAAATTCTAACCTTTTGCTGCGTACAGAAAAGCCAGCAATTTTGGTTTTGGAAATGGAAATCCACGAAGGCCGGGGCATCGAGAACTCAGCCAAACCTCAAACTTCGGCCTCTTCGAACTTGACCAAAATCGAGGCGTTAGAGTCAGACCTTGCTGGACTTATGCATGAAAATAGATGGTTTCGAGTTGTTTCATGGCTGAATTTGGTGCATTTTAATGTCAGATTTCAGCTGAGTTCTCAGCTGATTTATAGCCGCGCCTTGGCCAATTTTCACGTTGGTTTCAGGTGGAATTTTGAGGAGCTTGAGGGCTAACTTTTGGGAGACGTTTTGAGCGTGAATTCATAGCCTGATTTTGGTGAGAAATTGTATTTGCTGTGTTGGAGAAGAAAGAGTAAGGCTTCCGTGTTTTGCTTTTTTTTTTTAGTCTAGGTCTTGGGTCTAGGGTCTAGCTTTATTTTATAAGGGTAGTGAATCCCCTTAGTTCGTCGGAGGTATAATGGTTGTGGTCTGGGATGGTCGAGTGTGCTCATGTCCTCAGGGGGTGCGTGGGGTGGGTCGAGATATAGGGAGGGGGTTAGGGNTACATTGACAGGTAAGTCTATAGAGTTGGCGAAGATCCTCCAGAAGAGAAGGATCAATATAGCGTGTGTCCATGAGACAAGGTAGGCAGTGTCGAATGCGAGGGACGCGAACAAGTATAAACTTTGGTACTCAGGAACCCAGAAGGGTAAGAATTGAGTGGGTATTTTGGTGGATAGGGAACTTAGAGAGTTTGTGGTTGAGGTTAGACGAGTGAATGATAGGTTGATGATTATTAAGTTAGTGGTAGGTAGTGCACCCTAAATGTCGTTAGTGCCTATGCGCCTCATGCGGGCCTAGACGAGGAGGTTAAAAGACGCTTTTGTGAGGGGTTAGATGAGATTGTACGTCAGGTACCACCTTCTGAGAAGTTATTTATAGGAAGAAATTTCAATGGTCATATTGGGTCAACAACAGGTGGGTATGACGAAGTACATGGAGGCTTCGGTTTTGGGGAGAGGAATGGAGGAGGAACCTCGTTACTGGACTTCGCCAAGGCTTTTGGGTTGGTGATTGCGAACTCTATCTTTTCGAAGAGGGATAAGCATTTGGTTACTTATCAAAACACGGTGGCACATACTCAGATTGACTATCTCCTTCTCAGGAGGCGTGATAGAGGGTTTTGCAAGGATTGCAAGGTGATTCCAGGTGAGATACTCGTGACGTGGCATAGACTCTTGGTGATGGACGTTGGTATTATGGTGAAAAGGAGGAAAATATCTGCTCGAGGAAGACCGAGAATCAGGTGGGGAGCCTAAACTAAGGATAAAGCCCAAGAGTTGGACGGGCAATTGTCGGCGATGGGAGCTTGGAAGAGTAGTGGTGATGCATGCACTATGTGATCAACGACAGCAGACTGTATAAGGGAGGCTGTGAGAGAGGTGTTAGGGGTCTCGACGGGCATCTCCGGCAGTCACAAAGGTGACTGGTGGTGGAATAAAGTGGTACAAGGTAAAGTGAAAGCAAAGAAGGAGGCGTACCGGTCGTTAGTGGAGAGCATAGGCGAGGAGGAGAGGCGAGCGTGTATAAAGAGGTATAAGGTAGCTAGGAAGGAAGCGAAGCTGGCGGTCACATAGGCTAAGACTGCGGCCTATAGTCGTATGTACGAGGAACTAGGGGAAAAAGGAGGGTAGAAGAAGTTATTTCGGCTGGCCAAGTGGAGAGAGAGGAAAGCTCGAGATTTAGACCGAGTGAGATACATCAAGGACGACGATGGAAGAGTATTGATGGAAGATTCCCAGATTAAGAGGAGATGACAGACTTACTTTCAAAAACTTCTTAACAAAGTAGGGAATCAGGATATTTTTCTTGGTAAATTGGAGCATTCCGAGAGTCACAATGACTCTAGGTACTGAAGGCGCATCAAGGTTGAGGAGGTCGCGTGAGCTATGAGTAAGACGAGTAGAGGCAAAACGACCGTGCCTGATGAGATTTCGGTAGAATTTTTGAAGTATGTGGGGAAAGCAGGTTTGAAGTGGTTGACTAGGTTGTTGAATGTTATTTTTAAGGCGAAGAGGATGCCAGAAGAATGGAGGTGGAGTACGATGGTCCCACTGTATAAGAATAAGGGTGATATCCATAGCTATAACAATTATAGGGGTATCAAATTAATGAGTCATACTATGAAAGTATGGGAGAGGGTGGTCGAAGCAAGGTCGAGGATAACAGTGTTCGTTTTCGATAACCAGTTTGGTTTCATGCCGGGTCGTTCTACTACAGAAGCTATACACCTTGTTAGGAGGTTGGTTGAACAGTACATGGACAGGAAGAAAGACCTGCACATGGTGTTTATTGACCTAGAAAAAGCGTTTGATAAGGTTCCTAGAGAAGTTTTTTGGAGAAGCTTGAAGTCAAAAGGCATGTCGGTTCCCTACATTATGTCGATTAAGGACATGTATGTTAGGGCGAAGACTCGGGTTAGGACAGTAGGATGCGACTCTGAGGATTTTTCGGTTATTATAGGGCTACACTAAGGTTCTACGCCCAGTCCGTTCCTATTCGCCCTGGTGATGGACGCATTGACACATCACATTCAAAGGGATGTGCCATGGTGCATGTTATTCGCCGATGACATAGTTCTGATTGATGAGTCGCGAACCGGTATTAATGAGAGGATGGACGTTTGGAGACAGGCTTTTGAATATAAAGGTTTCAAGCTTAGCAGGACAAAGACAGAATATCTTGAGTGTAAGTTCAGTGCTGAGCAGAGGGAAGTGGGCATGGATGTGAGGTTGGAATCACAGGTCATCCGGAGTAGAGGAAACTTCAAGTACCTTGGGTCGGTTATCCAGGGGGGAGGGGAGATCGATGAGGATGTTACACATCGTATTGGGGTAGGATGGATGAAGTGAAGATTAGCATCGGGAGTATTGTATGACAAGAGAGTGCCACTAATACTCAAAGGTAAGTTCTATAAAGCGGTGGTTAGGTCGGCCATGATGTTTGGGGCTGAGTGTTGGCTGGTTAAGAAATCACACATCCAGAGGATGGAGGTAGCGGAAATGAGGATGTTGAGGTGGATGTGCGGGCACACTAGGATGGATAAGATTAGGAGTGTTGATATTTGGGAGAAGGTATACGTGGTTCCCACTGATGACAAGATGCGGGAAGCAAGGCTCAGATGGTTCGGGCATATTCAGAGGAGAAGCCCGGATGCTCCGGTAAGGAGGTGCAAACTTCTGGTTGTGGAGGGAACGAGGAGAGGTAGAGGGCGTCCTAAGAAGTATTGGGGNTGCTTTTGCTTTTGCCTACTTTGGATCATTTTTCTTGATTTTTGTTTCTATTTGTCATATTTGTTTCATATTATTTCGGCGGTGTTACGAACATTGTCTTCTTTTGTCCTTTTGTTTTCTTGAGCCGAGGGTCTTTCGAAAACAACCTCTCTACTCCTTTGGGGTAGTGGTAAGGTCTACGTACACACTATCCTCCCCAGCCCCCACTAGTGAGATTTCACTGGGTTGTTGTGGTTGTTGTTGTTGAATTAAGTTAGAGCAAATGGGGAATGGTATGGACTTAATGTTTTGGGCTTGGGTAATTTAGAATTTTTGGGCTTCAAGTTAAGCTGGCCCAGACGAAATTGAAAGACCAAATCTATTTATTTTCTTTGTTTTTCTTTTGATTTCAGAAATCTAATTGAATTAATTGAACAAGCTAAATAAAATCCTAAATTAGGCTCTAGCTTAAATTAATTTGTAAAGTTAATCTTACTTATTTTTACTAATTTAATACTAATTAATTTGAAACTAAAAGCTAAAATGTGAACATGACTATTGTAGCAATTATTTTGTGATTTTTGTTTAATGAATGTAATTAAATTATGAAATTAAATTCCTAAATGCAAATTGGACCTAAAATGATATGAAATTAAAATGTGATAATTTTTTTTTATCATTTTTCTATGATTTTAAAAATATTAAAAATGCTTGAAATGCAACTAAATAAAGAAAAACATCTAAAATTCATTAAAAATTATTTTTGGTTTATTTGTAGAAGTTATTCTCATGTAAGGCAAAAATTAGGTGCTCACATAATATATATCATATACTAACATGATATCATAGATGAGTGATTCATTCCTTAAAAAAATACTCCTCTATCCTATATGATACTAATATGATATATATCATATACTGAAAGGGTATCATAAAAGACTACTTTATTTCTTTAAAAAAAAAAAGCTTTACCCTCTATGATACAAAACTGGTATATATCATATACTGACATGGTATAATAAGGATTGGTTCATTCCTTAAACAAATACAAAAAATAAAGGATAAACTTATAACAATATACTATTACATTATACTATATCCTATAAGAATATACTATTATATTAAACTGTATACTATATGTAACGACCCGACCGATCGTTTTACTTTCTAGAATCTCATTCTCCTAATTGATACTTTACATACTTGCTTTTACTGATTTATGACATGCGGGGATGGCTAGTTCGGGATTTGGAAGGGTTCGTGTTGAAATCGGAACACTTGGTTCCTTAAGGTTGGCCTAAAAGACAAAATTTGACTTCGGTCAACATTTTGAGTAAACGATCTCAGAATTGGAATTTGATGGTTCGAACAGGTGTGTATGATGATTTCGGACTCGGGCGTATGTTCGGATCGGGTTTTGGATGTGTCACGACCCGGATTTCCGACCCTCGGGAGTCGTGATGGCGCCTACTAGTGAAAGCTATCCAAGCCAACCTTTTGAATTATTTACTTTTTTCCCATTTTTTAATTCTTTAACAATTAAGAGCCAACATTATATAAACAACGGAAATTTAAAAGCGGAAGACTGAAACGTAATATATTTTAATAAAGATGCCAGTACCAATTCATACATAAACTACCCTGGTGTCACAACTTCACAGACTGTCTAGGAATGCTACAAATAAAGGTCCGAAAGATTTATTACAATACTATCTTTGAAATACATTGAAGAAACAAAGTGAAAGGATGGAAGGAGATGCCAAGGCCTGCGGACGCCTGCAGGACTACCTCGGGTCGCCTGTTGGACTGAAGACAGCAATCTCACTGCGGTCCAAAAGCTACAGCACTGGGATCTGCACACAATGCAGAGTGTAGTATCAACACAACTGACCCCATGTGCTAATAAGTGCCCAGCCTAACCTCGGCGAAGTAGTGACGAGTCTAAGACCAGACTACTAAATAAACCTGTGAAATTAAATCATATACATACGAAAATAAAAGCAGAAATGTACAGTTAAGGATGGGAGGGGGAAACATGTTGCGGGTACATCGAATAATAACAAAAGAACGACAAATAAATATAAGGATCACCACAGTTCAATTGAAGATAGGATGGGGAAATCATGCTGCGGGGTACAACAAATATCAACAGAAAACCAACAATTAAATGTAGAGAAACCATAACTCAGTTATCAATAAAAATCAGGAAATCAAGACAAGTACACGGCATCACCCTTCGTGCTTTAACACTCTCTCACAAAAATAATGCACAACATTACCCTTCGTGCTTTAACACTCTCTCACCAAAATAGTACACGACATCACCTTTCGTGCTTTACACTCTTCCTCACTCAAGATACAATCACAAAGCAATTTGGGCAAGGGAATCAATAACATCAAAATAAAATCCAGTAACAACAGAAAATCAGTAAATAAATGTAAAGGACAACATAACTCAATTATCAGCAAGAATCAGGAAAATCAAGGACAAGTGCACGGCATCACCCTTCGTGCTTTTACTCTCGTCCTCACCGGAAAATCAATACAAATGGCACAAAATTGTACATCGTGCAACACAACATCACCCTTCATGCTTTTAAACTATTCCTCACAAAATCATACATGACATCACCCTTCGTGCTTTAATACTCTTCCTCACCCAAACAACAATCACAAGCAATGAGGGCAAGGAAATAAATAAAATCACAATAAAATCCCGGCGAGGGAACAATATCAAAAGCATCAACACCCCGGTAAGGAAGATAGCATTAGAAGCAACGACATCCCGGCAAGGGAGATACTATAATAATCCTCTTCTCTTTTTCACATTTACTTCACAACTCACTTCACAACTTGAGCCAATGCTCTAAAAGGCTCAATGGTCAATTATACTTCCACAATTTAATTTACAACTTGAGCCAACGCTCTTTAATATTCAAATACCAAAATTACTTCCACAAGCTTTTCTCAACAATAGAAATCATCACATAAGACATGAACAATACAAACAGAGTCACATTAATCATAGTATAAGACTCACGGGCATGCTTGACACCAACATATAGATACTCGTCACCATACCTATACATCGTACTCAACAAATAACACAAAGCAAATAGGACGCAACTCCTAATCCCTCAAGCTAAGGTTAGACCAAATACTTACCTCAAACTTCCACGGCCAACTCAAGCCTCAAACACCGCTTTTCCTTTAGAATTCGCTTCCAAATAACTCGTATCTAGTCCAAATTGATTTAACAACAATAATAAATGCTAAAGAATTCATACCCAATGCTTAATTATAGGTTTTCTATAATTTCCCCCCAAAAGTAAAAAATGGACTCTGGGCCCGCTTGGTCGAAACTC